TTAAATGACTGATAGACTATTAATTTTTTAATAATCGTACCTTAATATTTTTATAAACAGAATAATGAGATGAATCAATTGGTGGAAGGAAAATACATGTTGCTTAACAAAAATTGTATGCAAAATGGATAATTTTTCAAGTAAGCAATTATGTATTTTCTTTCCATCGCTTTCCATTGCTTGAAAAAACCGTGTTCCGCACTCCGGTAGGCCCTGCGGCATAACGGTAGTGACAAATAATCATTATGCAGTTCGACCATTTATTCTTCTTGAATTTAAAGTCTAGATATAAAGACTTAAGGTAAGTCTGAAATGAAAAAGTGGGAAATGTTAGACATCGCACAAAATACAAACGTCTCGCTTTTATTGAGCCATCTAAGATCGCGGAAATATGGAGAGACACGCTCGTCCCACTTGATCGAAAAAATATATCTCACGCACAAATTAAGAGCTCTTTGGAGTTTAAAGTCCAGCTCGCTGGTAGATATTATGATAGTGTATGATCGAAAATTAAAAAAATATAGAATAGATATGAGAAAGAGAGAGAGAGAGAGAGAGAGAGAGAGAGAGAGAGAGAGGAAGGGAGGAGGAGGAGAGGGGATCAAGACAGGAGAAGAGAGGGAGGAAAGAAATGGATACAGATTGTGATTTTTCATTTTCCATATATCCTAATTACATGCTTTGTCGCGTCATCTCGCTGTTTATATATGATGTATGTATTATATATTCTTCGCAAACATCGTACGTACTGCATATCACACCGTACACGCGTCGCTGTGTGAACGCAACGTTAGCCAAGTTCGCTGACCGGCAGAGAGAATGCGTACGCGCGCGAAGAAAAGAGAGAGGATCAGAGGAGAAGTGACGGAATAGACCGTGACCGTGGCCGTGGCCGTGACCGTACCGTGGCCGAGTTGTCGCGATCCCCATAGATATCGTCGGCGGCGACGAATACGACCCATTACAAATATAATATATATGATCCATATAATATATATGATTTAGTATACAGATATCTCAGAAAAAGAAATTTAAGCGGTCTGTATGGTCCAGCCATGTTACGAGATATGTACAAGTACATATTCGAAGGTAGACTTAAATCCAAACGTCCAAACAAGAGATATCTCGCGTGTAGAACTCTGCGACGAATGATCTTTGTCTCGTTTTATGAAACAGAGACATAAACTACAAAGCTTTACTTCAATTTCTTCTTTTAATATATTTCGTGGGTTTAACTTGGTTGAACCGATTTATCTCTTCATTCAGCGCGTTAGTTTCACATTACTGTGAAAGAGTGGAAACAAATAACCAAATATAAATCTGCCGATTCTACAATGAGTCGGTAATCTGTAATTGGTGAGTCGGAAGCGAGTTAAAGGATAGTCGGTGAGCCGGAATTGGTGAATCGGTAGAGTTGACTAGCAACCAATTTTTAAAACTATAGACTATCGATTCATTGTAAAATTAGTATGATATCTGTATCATGATATTGACACTCCCCAATTGGCCTCTATATTAAGATTTATAGAAAACCCGGTGACATTATACTTAAATTATAATGTAGAAATATTGCAACATGGGAAATATTATACATGACTAAATTAAAAATTTTGAAGTTAAATGACTTTTAGGATACATATGAACCGATTTCAAAATGTTCGTCAAGCATTTGAAAATAATTGGATAACGTATTATAATTTATTTCTTTGTTATGCTGCCAGCATCTCATTTATTATATTCTTGAAAGAAAGTGAAAAATATTTACATCTCAAATTGGATTTATCTAATTTTTTGATATATATCAATAGAAATCTTTTTTCTGACAAAACTGTTGCGTTATAGAGAATCACAATTTTTGTAAAAATTTTTAGCACAATTATTGTAACAATTGTCACTAGTTTATGCTATTATTGTGTAATATTTTCACAATTTACTTTTGGGGGATTTATCTTACAATTACTTTCGAACAAATTTGTATCGTAAATTTTACGATTCATTCAATTTTTTAAAAACTCAAATATATAATTCATAAGAAAAAAAGTAATCTAAAGATAAAAAGGAAGCCGTATATAAAACTACAAAATATAACGTTGACAGACAGACAAAAAGAGACGAAGAAAAGTATTGTATATAAGTTGTATATTTGCTATACAGTAACCGCATTCGCCGCGTACAATAAAGATATTGTATATTACGCCATACAATAACAAATGAATACACTTGGTATATAAAGCACGATGAAGTACACACAAAAAATATCAAGTTAATTAATCCCAGACAACTTCAAGATGCGTACTCTCTTTTTTTTCTCTTTTTACTTATAAAGTACATACGAACAAATGTATTAAAAAGAAAGAAAGCCGTGGAGGAAACCTGGGGACTGCTACTTGGCTGTGTAAGACATTGTCGGGAAGGCATAATAGGCGTTAGATGGAAAAATATGATATTTTCTGAAAAAATGCGAGACGGCTCAATTTTATGTAGGCAAAAATACTTTGTGTCACTTTCTTCACTAAAGTATCTATTCTCAATCTACTTATTTCTCTCGTGAAGCATGTAACAAAGGTATAAAACGTCTATTCTAATATATTCTTTTCGCGTCACTTTTCATCGCTCATTATAATATAAATGCACGGTTATCACGACCGATTGTTATATGACTATTGAAAAAATGACTCTATATTGTATGGCCATACGTTATGCACATTTTTATTTTTACATGGAACAGTTGTCGATAGGATGTGCGCGTTTCTGGATGATTAAGGCTTCTCAACAATTCCAATTACTTTGCGATTAATACATTTGCTACGATATACTTTTCACGAAGAACATGGTTGTCGGAACTTCCAATGCACAAATACATATTAGGATTTATATTATTCAATAATAAAGTATCTGTGAAAACTGGAAGAGATGTATCACGTATTTCATGAGAAATCTAGCTGTAGTCTACTTTGCTTGCAAGGTCAGCAATTACTGTAATTAAAAAAATACATTATGGTCGGTATTCATAGTCAATTCTTATATTTATGACTGTCTTAAATACAATTTTAGGATATCATGAACCAATTCGGATCAACAAAGCCAAGTTTTGGAATGTAACCCATGTAAACAGTTATACAGAATATAGAGAGAGCACGATTAAATTTTACATACGAGAACCGACACCATCTAG